GAAAAAACTAAATATACTTAACATATTGCTTTTGGAGTGAGAAATGGAGTAATACATTGGAGTAAAATCCAACTCCATTTAGAGTTACTTCATTTTGGAATGAGAAATAGAGTAATACATTGGAGATGTTCTAAGAAAATGAAAAGAAAAGTTTGTCACATAGTATATTTGATTTTTTTTTTGTGGTTTTCAATTGGTTAGTTCTTTGGGATATTGAACAAGTATTAATTTCTTCTTTCATTGCGTTATGGTGGCAGCATCAGTCAATAAAGAGAAATATGTGTTGTCCTAAATAAGTGATTAAATGAATGTGTTCGTGTAATATGCAATTTTAATGAGATTTATTACTCTGACAAATAATTATTATATAGGATTTAGGAATTGAGTTGGCTATGTTTTTCATTTGAAAATAAACTCAGTTTAAAAAAAGATTGTAATGATATACTTTTTTGTCTTAGGGATAATCCTTTGAAATATACATAAAAGCTGTTATTGTCAGAAAACGATTAACAAGGTATTTATCAAGGTAACCACTTCATAAAATTGCTGGAATTGGAAAAAAAAAATGGTGTGCCAAAAGATGCTAACGAGCTTGACAAAGTTGCATTACATAAAAACATTCAAAGAGAAAGTAATATCTTCTCTACTTGGAGATCCCAACACTTCAAATTCTAAGAGTAATAGAAAGTATAAACCTAAAGAAGGAAGTAAATGGTTGATGTAAGAAGAATACCAAGAACTAAAGAAAATGGTATAAACGATATGCCCTCGAGAATAAATCAATCAGACTAATTAATTACCTTTTTTTCTTCTTTTGCCTCGAGAATTACTGAATTTGAACCAAACTTGGAACATAACTCACGAGAAGTGGCAACGGATCCACTGGTCCTTGTGTTTAGACTCTCCATTTACTTGTTTACATTTACGTACACCATCTTTTCCAAAAATGTAAAGTATGGTCCTCTCTTCCTCGCCTCCTCTTCTACGACAACACACGGCCCAATTGTTCTCCTCGTCTAATAAGAAACTGCTCACAAAAATCATACATGTTCTCCTTATAAATTTACTGAAATCTAGTTCCAAGAAGTAATGCATCTTAGTATCATTGGCCTCCCAAATCTTCATCTTGAATGAATCTGTGTGAAGCCTCTCAAGTAACAAAGAAAGATTCTCTTCTCTAACAACGGGGAGAAGCAGAGTCCGATCCAAATAAAACGGAAGAGGCAGATAACTCTGAAACGGAGACACACGTTCAAATCTCTCTCTTGTGAAATCAAACCTGACTAGGAATTTATTATTGCACTGATCTTTTCTATCTTCAGCAATCCAGTAAGTATTTCCATTCAACGAGACACCACTCGGTAATAACCTGGAACAGTTGTAAGTCACATCATCAAGAAGCCTCCATAAACTCATATATTTCAAACTCAATAATAGCCTGGCCTTGTTGATGGTTGTAGCTAATCCTCAGGATTTTGTAGCTATTGCAAGAGTTGTTGTTGTTTACGTATCCTAAAAAACATCTCAAGGAAGGTGCGTCTATGTTATGAGTACTGCGTTTGATCCACCTGGTTTGACCAGTACAAGGGTTCCAAACCACGATTCTCTTATCCTTGGTGGTGCACAATAATAAACCGTCGCAGTGAAAGATGTTAGATATATCCACTTGTTGTGAATCCTTTAGACTCTTGAGTTTACCTGTAAACTCAATGGATGGATCAAAGTTGTTGTTGATTTCCATGGAGACTGACGTTGACCGAATAAACCCTATTATCTTTCTTTAAGATCACCTGAGTTGCTCCTTTGCGCAAGTTCTTCTTGATGAATATCGGATCTTTGAATAAAGCGTACCATCTCTTGCAAGTAGATCGCTGTTTACTTAGAGACGTGGCAGGAACCCTAGAGAGTATTTCCGATTCCAGTTCGTGTGGGAGATCGGTAAACATCATTGTTTCTCTCTTGACTCCTGACCTGATTTCCCTAGGAAGAGAGGATATAAAGAGAATTGTAGGGTTTCAACTTTTTATATGAATAGAAAGGGTATAATGGTCAATTGCTACAAAGAGGACAAATTGGAAATATTTCGATAGTGGCCGTCTCAACAAGAAGAAGCTTCACTTTGTCATTGACTTGGACCACACGCCTCTACACTCCACTAGGGTTTCACGTTTCTCCAATGTATGTTTACACGATGGGTACTCACGAATACGCTAAAGCCGTGTTGGAGCTGATTGATCCTAACTCCTAAGAGAATCTATTTTCTAGATAGAGTGATAACAAGTGACGACGGTGGAGTGGCCAATGTTCTGAAATTACTCAAGAAAATTCATTGTGGAATCTTCAGAGCCAAGGAAGAATTATTAGAGTCGAAGGACATGAGGTTTCTGCTACAAGAATTTAATAGACTTCAAACTTTGATCTCAAATAAGATCCAATTCGTAGAAACTTCATTTTAAGCATTGGAAACTTGTGATCTCTGTCATCATTTGTGTAAGAAATACAAATATTCTTTGTTGGAGAAACATATTTTTTGCTACTACAAAACTTTTAAAACATTTTGCAGATGCAAGATGTGGGAATATATATCCTCAAAGTCAAAATGAACTTCAATAAGAATTGTATTCTAAAAGTAAAAAAAAATAAGATTAAAATCTCAAACATAAGTAGAATGTGATTAAATCTTTAGGATAATCTAAGAAAGTACGAAGGGAAATGAGCAAAGGTCCGGAACTTTCAAAGTTTATAAAAAAAAAAACATAGAAAACAACTTGTTTTTCTTCCTTACTACTCGTCTTCGCCTCATGTTTTCGACATGCTTTGGGTCTTGGTTTCACTTCGATTTCCTCTTCTTACAGAGATGGCCTTCTTCAGTTCATGCCTGTAAAAGCT